CCCCGGGCGGCCCGCCGCAGCGCCGCCCCGGTGCTTGGCGGGTAATAACGCGGCGGCTCCCACCGCTGCGGCCATGAAGGCTGAGGGAGGCTCGGCCCCGCGGTGGGAGGAGTGGTGTTTCTTACTTCATGGTGAATAAACATTAAAAAAAACCTCAAAGCCTTGGTCCTTTTCACTGAGGGCTAACTCCACAGGGAAGATGGGGAGGGACTCCTTTACCAGCAAGCCTAGTGATAGGACAAGGTGTATGGCTTTAAACAGGGTAGATTTAGATTAGGAATAAGGAAGAAATGCTTCACTCTGAAGGTGGTGAGGCACTGGCACAGGCTGCCCGGAGAAGCTGGGATGCCCCCTCCCTGGCAGTGCTCAAGGCCAGGTTGGACGGGGCTCTGAGCAGCCTGGTCTGGTGGAAGGTGTCCCTGCCATGGCAGGGGGCTGGAACCAGGTGATCCTGAAGGTCCCCTCCAACCCAAACCATTCATAGAATCACAGAATCGTTTAGGTTGGAAAAGACCTTGAAGATCATCGAGTCCAACCGTTAACCCAGCACTGCCAAGCCCACCACTAAACCACGTCCCTAAGCACCACATCTCCCCGGGTTTTAAATACCACCAGGGAGGGGGGCTCGACGGCTTCCCTGGGCAGCCTGCTCCACATGACGCGCTTTCACAGGCTGTGGCGGTCCAGCTCCATTTCTCCCCACTGTGGCACAGGCCCCTCGTTTCTTTAGCGGGAGAGGCGATGCTTTGAGGAGAGGGTTTTTACCCATTTCCGAAGTGAAATGGGACTGTGCGGCTCCAGGTCCCAGAGGGGACAGAAGCAGTGACAACCAGCATGGGGAAGCTGCTACCGAGGTCGAGTACCGTCGGGAGCGGGGCTTTCCTGTCTCGTCCCTGGGAGATGGGGAGCCCCTCCAGCCTGGGCAGCCGAGCTCAGGGCTCCCAGCTGACTGCAGTCACCAACGCGGCACACGAGATCCACCCAGCCTGCCGGCCCCGGCAGCCGCTGCCGCAGGGACGCCGAGCCCACCCCAGACCCGTCCTGGCCCATTCCAGTACCAGCAGGAGTAGTGTACCCACAGCTCCCTACAGCCAGGGGAAGGGGCATGCCAGTGCCAGTGTTTTTATTAAAAGCTGCTTACCTAGTTATAACAAGAGGGCTTTGAAAGAGCGAGCTCCAAAGGTTAATTGTGGCAGTTGTTAACATGAGTGGGCAACAGTCCTGCTCCCTTGTTCCCAGCACAAAAGCCTGGGCCGTTCCTTTTTATTCCTGTCCCTTGTTTCTGTCTGTGCTAAATGACCTTCCTTTATTTCTCTTTTCTATTCCAGTCTCCTCATTTGAAAGCATCTCTTGTTTTTTAATTTTTAAACTTCCCTTTGCTCTGTTTTGACCACATGCCTTGGCAAACCCTGTCTGACTGCAGCAGCAATAGTGTGAATGCGCTGCTGGCCAGGAGACAGCCCGCTCCCTTTCCCTGCTCCCCCAAAGCTGGCACGGGGCTAGGGCAGAGAGAGCCCGGCTGCCTCCAGCCTCAGCTCTTTGCAGCACTTCTAAGCTGTTTAGCAAGGTTGAAAGGTATCCACTGTTAATGCGCTTTCAAATGCTGACACTTGAGCTTTGTTTGTTCCCACGGGAAGCCAGCAAGCCTTCGCCCTTACTGCCTGGAGGATAAAAAGGAAATATTGGACGAGGGCACTTGGTTGAGGCACAGCGAGCTTGACACATGAGGAACCCTGCGATGACACCCTGCAGAGCTGGGAGCAGTGAGCAGGGCAAATGATCAGCATCTCCGAAGTGTCCGGTCCTGAGCAGCTCATGAGCCCCAACACCGAGGCAGCCAAAAATCCCCAATGAGTCTGTGGTCACTTTGGAAAGTGTTAGCCTGGCCTCCAGCGTCCCCGGGGTGGCACACGCTAATCCTGATAAATCGGAGGGCCTGCTGGGCGACTGCCAGCCCCTGGGCTCTCCCCGCCTTCCTTATGCACCACCACGGGCACACACACCTTGCGTCGAACTCCCGGCCCGTGGGAGGCTCCCCCGAGATGGGGTTCCCAGTAGTATGCGACCCTGATCCACAAAGGACTTCCCTTCCCCACCCACCTCCCAAATCCCCCTCCCGCCCCCTTCCCCATGGTTTATAGTGTTGCCCACGAGGCGGACGGTGGCGGGGCGTGGGAGGGCGTCTCTCCCCCCATGCCTTCCCAGCACCCTCCCAGCGCCTCGGAGAAAGGGGGCTTGTAGCTCCTCCATGCATCTGGTGGGGGCTCAGCAGGTGTTCCTGCAGCCCGGCTTAAGTCTGCTTCTTTTCCCATTCCTGCAGAGAAAGGGAAAAAAGCGGGGGAGTGGAGAAGTGAGCAATGAGCCCTTTGAGGACCTCCCTCCCTACTGGGGGCTTTGGACCACCCCCCATGGCAGGGCGTTGGACCAGATGTCCTTTAAAGGTCCCTTCCAACCAAAACCATTCTGTGATTCTATGATGCTCTCCCCTCTGCCTACCCAGCCTTTACTTCCCAAATCTCCCTGCAAGCTGGGCTCGTGCCAGCAGCGAATGCCGCTGAGCTGCGCCAGCCTGGCTGCAGCGGACACTGGCAGTACCCCTTGCTTTTGGGGTAGAGAGCATCCCTGGTCCCCAAATGTCATGGCCAAGGAAGGGAGATGAGGTGAAGGATGAGATTTCCCGTGGGGCTGGGGAGGAGAGGGGGAGCGAAGCAGGACCTTGGCCTTCCGCAGCACGTTTCCCTTGTTGGCAGGGAGGATGGAGGGACTTCTCTTCCTCAGTTCGGCTGCACAGTTAACGGGGACCAAGTGCTCAGGGGGGCTCTCGTTTGGCTTGTTTGTAGCTTCCTGTGGAAAAGGGGGAGCAAGAAGGAGGAGAATTTAGGAGACCCAGGGAGCAGGGACAGCCAGGGGAAAAAAAAAGCACAAACTGTCATGAGGTCAAAACTGCTGTGGCCAAACCTAATTGATGCTTTGCTTCCCACCTCTGTCTGCGGTGGGACAAAGCAGCAGGGATGTCCCTTCTTCCCCATGTGCTGCTCCCCCCACCACCCCAAGCACTGCTGCTGGGGGACACTGGAGCCACAAGACCGAGGAAGAAGGGGTGCATACCCCATTCTCAGCCTTGCCGGTCACAGCCAGCCCCAGGGCCGGGCCTCCCGCCAGTGACTGCTTCAGCCGCTCCTTCACTTCGGTCAGCTTGAGCTCCAGGTCAACGCGGCGCTCCTCCTTCTGCCGGCACTGCTCCTCCAGCACCGCCACCCGCTGCTCCAGCTCCTGCAGCTTCGACCCTGCTTGCACAAACGTGCCCAGCTCAGCACGAAGCTACCCATCCTCCTGGATAGGGACGCTAGATGGGGCTGCCAGCCTGGCAGTGCGCTGCAGCCAGCTCCGCTCGTGGCCACAATGCCACTGCCAGCCCAGCGTCCCCATCCCGCCCCGGCTCTGCAGCCTTCCCCCTGTACCCAAGCGCCTTCGAGCATCCTCAGTCACCGCGCTCGGGTGGCACCAACCTACCCGTGCTGCCCTTCATGGCTTCCCGCAGCTCTCGCTTCTCTTTCCGCAGCAACACCAGCTCACTGCGGATCAATGCTTTCTCCTTCTCCAGCTTCTCCTTCTCCGTCAGAAATCGCCTGGCATCCTCCTCGGCCCGGTTCTTCCCGTACCTGTACTGGTTGGCGTCTGCACGCACAAGGAAAGACTGTCACGAAGGCTCTGGCCCCAGCTACACCGATGCCACCCACGGTCCAGCTGAGCTGATGCAGCACAGCCCATCACCCATGTGCCGGAACCGGCCGGCCCCAGCCGGGCCACAGACCCCCTTGGGGGAACAGCGTCCTCCCACACTG